TATACCTGGTCCCCCTCACTCCTGGGCCCCCCACACCCAAGGCCCCCTCACTCCCAGCCCTCAACCACAACAGTGCACATAGCTTAGTACCAGCTGACCTAGCTATAACTCTTCCTTGGAACAGGACCATGGGGAAATAAAGAAACAATTTAAACACCACAACTCAGAAAGAAATGATCCAAATCCAGAATACAGGATACTCTCAGGCTAAGTGTCTTACATTCTGCTCTCCACCCAGCAAAAGAAGCGAAAGCTTGGGAAAAGCAAGGGGTGTGGCAAACCTGAGAAGCTAAGGGCAACAACTCAGCGAAGTGTGGACCTTGATTTGTCCTTTTTATAGCCCAACTCCACCAAGACATCTTTGCTGCAATGAAAATAACTGAATATGATCTGGGTATCAGATAACATTAAGGAATTGTTATTAATTTTGATAGGCATAAAATAGCATGGTGGTTAATAAAGGAAAACAGTCCTCATCAATTAACAAAAGTGATCTCCAGCAGGCGGGAGGGAGTCAACAATCCTGTCAGGATGCTCTCCTTGCCAGGGACTCTATCCCCACGTACGTCTTTGTCAGACGAACTGTTTACCCGCACCTATGCCTAACCCAGCAATTTCCCATCTTTCAAGTCGTGTAGCAACTAAATGAACCATCTGAGCGGCAAGCTGGGAGGGATGGAGAAGACTTCTCACAGGCACAGCCAGCCTCATGTCTTGGCCGCCACTAGGTCTGGTGTAGGTCCAAGGGCAGAAGATCGGAGCAGTCTTGCATCCCCAGGGCCACACACAGCACCCAGAAGGGAGCTCCAGCAAGCCTACGCCTGTGACACCTTCCTAATGAGCGGGCTGTGGTGGGGCTGGGCAGGCTGTAACACGGCTAGGATGGGAGGACACAGCCCATGTCTGTGGCTGTGCTTGGAGACCGCCGAGCCCTCCAGTCTGGTGAGTCTTTGCCTTTCACACTTCTGTAACCTAATAAGAATTAACTACTTGCCGCTAACAAGAAGGTAGAGACTCCAATAAGCAATGACATAGAGGGAGAGGACAGAAGCCCTTTAGCATTCCTGGAACATCTATGCCATTAAAAGAGAGAGAGAGAGAGAGAGAGAAAGGAAGAGGAGGAGGAGGGAAGGGGGTAACCTCGGGACCAGCACACGGCAGTTCCCCCGCCATCTTGATGTCCTTGACACGTGCAGATGGTGTGGAAGTGGCTGGCACCAGAACAGCCCGCGAGGAGGAATGAGCGGCCAATGGAGATTTATGTGAGCAGAGCGAGATGGACAAGGTAAAATTGTCAGGAGGAGTTGTTGGAAAGTAAAATATATTGTGACAATTCCACTCCTGCCGTTCATCAATAAACTGACAGATCATTTAGTGTCAATTAGGAGTGATAGATGGACAAGTCCCCATGATCCTGGGCCAAAATTAATGGCTGGGAGGGAGAGGGTGATTGAAAATGACGGCTGACATTGAGAGCAAAGTCCTGAAAGTCCCCGAGGGGCCATTACTTGCCTCATTCCCTTGCAGATCAATGCAGGGACAAACCCCAAAACAGACACTTTGAGACAAAACTTAGTCAGAAGGCCTTCTCCTCCCAGGTCTGCTTCCCTGCGCTCAACTCTTATCACCATGGCCATGCTGGGGACCCATCAACACCTTCAGTTCAGACAGCTTCAGGCAGCTGACTCCAAGATGGTGCCTTTGGCACAGCTACCTACTTTCAGGCCAGGAGGAGGGCGGGTAATAATGTCAGGTCCTAAGCTATACCTCAAGTCCATCCTGCTCTTTACCTTGGAGTGAGCCCGAGTTCTGGGACACGGTACCTCCCAGGACCAAGACCCACAGATGCTCTACTCTGTCTTGGGAGTGCTTCACAAGCCGAACAAAGGCTCTCATATATGCTGGCTCCAAGCTCACGAGTCAGAGGCAAACAGCCCTCTTCTGTCCCCAGAAGACACGTAGCTGTCTGACTCTGTCATTTGTCCTCCTTCACTGACGGAACCTACCTGAGTTTGTCGTTGCCAGGGGCTGTCTGCACTCCATCCCCATATTCTTATGATGAACCCCTAATCTCTAAGGTGATGGTGTTTGCAGGTGGCAATTGGGCAGGGCTGGGGTTACAAGGTTGGAGCACTTACAATGGGAGAGAGGAACAGAAGTGGACCTACCCAGAAAGAACCCCTCATCAAGAACTATGTCAAGCTGCCGTCTGACCTTAGACATCTTGCCCCCAGAAAGACCAGTGAACTGTGCACTGTCTGAGCTCCAGGCATCTGGAAATTACTGAAAGCAGCCAGACTGTGTCAGAAGTGTGGCGTTATGCAGCCATTGCTATCCCAGGAGCTTTGAAAGGAAGCAGACTGTTTTCCAGTGCGAATTCTCTGACCTAACCGCCTAAGAAAGAGGCTGTCTTCCTCCTGACACCAAACCTTACACCAAAACACTCACCATCTCTGTCAGAATCCAACCAGCTTGACCCACGTCTACTCTGCAAGGTGGCCCCTGGCCTTGTCACTGTCTTCTGACGTCACATGGCGAGCACCACCCATGCCATTTGCCTCCCACTTACCTGTGCTTCTTGGATGATTCCCCGACTTATTGACTAGAGATGCCTGATATACTCGATTAGAATCTAGCTCTCCCGGGTCAGGAAACACCCTGCACTGTGGTACTCACTAGAGCAGTCTGGTTCATGCAAAAACACTAACAGACACTAAAGCTGCTAGGGAAAAATTGTGGAGAGCAGACTCCGTCCAGTGCCCTAAGGCAACTAAGACGATCACTATTCACTCTTAGAGAAAAATAAAACTTTCTGAGGGGGAGCTCTCTAGGTCCTCAACAAGGCTGAGCGGTCAGACTCAATACTGCCAGCACAGGGCTCTGCTCAGTCGTGTGCCTTCCCAAGAGACACGGGAGGAAGTATACAGTAACACCTGTTCTTGCCCCAAACCTTCCACATGAATCTAATCACGACAACTGGAGAAACTAAAGGCAGACATTCTGTGAGACAACTGGCCTGGGTGCCTCGGACAGTCCACAGACCCCACAGGAACGGGAGCTGTTATGGGTTAAGAAAGGAGAAGAAGCCGGGCCTGGTGCCGTGTACCTGGAATTGCAGCACTTGAGAGGCTGAGGCGAGAGGACGGATATGGGTTTGAGGCTAGGTTATAAAGACCCTGTCTCCACCCCAAAAAAGGGAGAGAGATAGAGAGAGGAGGAGAGGGAGGAGGATATAGAACTAGTGGATTCTGATTGGATTTCAGAGCTAAGAAGGCATCGAAGGACAAAGAGGGCCATTTAAATGTAAATGACATATCCGATACTATTAAGTAACTATGCAGTGACCCAGTGATCAAGATTCTGTGACCACGCTAGAAGATGTGAGCTTTAGTATAAAGGGATAAATATCACATTTACAACTTGCTTTGGAATGGTTCAGGAATACAGAAGATAAGGGAGATGGAGGGAAAAGGCAATGGGAAAAAGGGATGCAATGGATTACAAAGAAATATAACCTGCTGTTGGTTTTTACTCTGTTCTAGTGCTGGGGACAGAACCTAGAGCCTTCACATGCTGGGCAAACTCTCTTTCACTGAGCTATATCCCTGGGCTAAGAAAAACCTCTAAATATGTTATTTTGAAGACAACTACTCAAAGAAATTCTAATTACAGGTAATGTCTACTCTAAGACTATATATCTTCAACCCACTGTAATTTTTGTATATGTCTGTGGGTTTTTTTGGTTGTTTGTTTTTGTTTTTGTTTTTCGAGACAAGGTCTCTCTGTATTTTGGAGCCAGTCCTGGAACTAGCTCTTGTAGACCAGGCTGGCCTTGAACTGTGAAGGGATGAAGAAAAGAAACCCAATAATCCCATAGCAGCAGCAGCAGCAGCAACAGCAGCAGCAGCAGCAGCATCTACCTAGTGCCTCCTGAATGCTTCTTTCTCATCTATGAACCCATGCGGTCCTCTCACCAATCCACTGAAGTAAGAGCTACTTAACCCTGATGCAGAGATGAGGAAACAGAAGCCAGAGAGCTTAATCACCTGCTCAGCATCACTGTGGTGTAACACGGAGCATAGTCAGGATTTGAAACCAGGCATTCTGGTTCCAGGATCTGTGCCTCCCGATCACCATGCTCTGCCATCACTCAACACGGAACCACGAGGCCTCTGGCATAAGGATGGGTGGCTGGGTGAGAAAGGGGTTGGCTATCACAACAGCACTGGTCTTGTTGCTTCAACCCCCGCACCACCCTGTCAGCACTGACATCCAGAGGCTCAGGGATCCTGAACACTTTGCTCAACCTTATTCAGCTGGTGAGAACGGACCCAACATCCACAGTCCCACACAACCAAAAGGGGATGTGACGGGCCTGTGGCACTGGTTGCTCCTTCTAGGAGCTCCAAAGGAGAGGTGAGAATAAGACAATATTGAATTATCATGGACCAGTGTTCTCACCAGCTCCCAGCACTGGCTTATGATAAACATGAGATGCCAACGAGGCGGCGAGGGGACACCTGTCCTGTTCTTCGCAAATGAATGATCTATGCCTAATGCAGACACACTACAGAGTTCATCCGAGAAACCAATGGGCAACTCCAGCAGGCTGGAGAGATGAATGGAGCAGGGCTGGACTTTGGAAATGGCCAGTCAAGCAAGAGAGAGGAGTCATAAAGGAGGGAATAAACCAGGGCCCACTGACACAGACCTCAGAAGAAGCAAGTCAGAGACAGCAACTAACTACTACCCATGGGTGGGAAGTTGGGGTGATGTGGAAAAGGAACGTTAAGAGGTACGGGGCTTGTTTCATGGGATGGGAGAAAAATGTCCTAAAATTGACCAGGTAACAGGTGCAGAACTAAGAAGAATTAGATTGTATTCTTAAAAAGCGTGTGACTTGCCTCGGTAAGGTTACAAAGATGACAACACAGGCATGCCGTCCCCGTCTCCATAGCGCCCTGCCCACCCTAGCTTATCCCGGGGAGTCATGTACTCACTTTGACACCTTTATGGAGTCGTCCGCCCAGCCTCCCTGCCGTCGAGGGGGTTTTGGTGGGGGAGCCTGTGTGAGAGAAGCAGACGGCAGTCACTCAGCTTGTGCCTCCCAATACCACAGAGCACCAGGTTCAGGTCACCTGAACCAAGTCAGCCCACTGAAGCACTTCCCCAATAAAAATATGAAAATAGATTCTAATTTCCTACGGAAACCATCCCATCATCCTTCCTGGTGGGTGTGGAGATCAGCATACTGTTCCTGATGGACAGCTGGCAGATGTCTACTGAACACTTAAAATACTCAACGTTTTGGTTTTTGTTTTTTCAGGTCTGGAAAATAAACCCAGGGCCTCATTCACGCTAAGTACAAACTCTACCAGTGAGCTGCATTTTCAGTGTGCACACGTGCATGTGTACATGCATGCGTATGTGTGTGTGTGTGTGTGTGTACATGTGGTGTATGCATGTATGTGGGATTAGGGGATATGTTCACATGTACAGAGACCCAAAGTAGCACTGGGTGTCTCTCCTCAGCTGTTCTCCTTACTGACATCTTTAGACGAGGTCTCACTGAACCTGGATCTCACTGATCAGGCAAGGCTGGCTGAGGCCTGGCTGAGCAATGAGCTGCAAGGCTCTACCTGTCTTTCCCTCCCTGTGCATATATATATATATATATATATATATATATATATATATAATATTTATTTATTTATTATGTATACAATATTCTGTCTGTGTGTATGCCTGCAGGCCAGAAGAAGGCACCAGACACCATTACAGATGGTTATGAGCCACCATGTGGTTGCTGGGAATTGAACTCAGGACCTTTGGAAGAGCAGGCAGTGCTCTTAACCTCTGAGCCATCTCTCCAGCCCTCCATGCTCAGCTTCTTATGTGGGTTCTGAGGACCTGATGTTTTACCTCCTGAGCCACCTCCCCAGCCTGCTTATGCCTGTTAAGGCCGTAATTCTTTTTCTTTCTTCTCTCTCTTTAAAGATTTCTTTAGTTTTACTTTCTGTGTGGGGGATGGTCTGCCTGAATGTGTATCTGTGCACCACATGTGGCCAAGGCCTAGCATGGCCAGAAGAGGGCACCAGGTCCCCTGGAACTGGAGTTAGCCGATGGTTATGAGCCACCACGTGGGTGCTAGGGGGCTGGAACCCAGGTCTCTGGAAGAGAAGCCTGCTGAGCCATCCCTCCAGCCCTAAAACAGCAATTCTAAACCCAGAAATTATCACAAGGACATAAACACGGACGAATATATGTCATTTCTGCGTAACCAACACTTGTCAACAACAAAACAGACAGCAATGAGAAACTAAGTAAAAGGATAGATACCAAACGGTATGCAAATAATGTAAAACTATGTCACAAAAATATCAAAGTTCATATACATTAATTTAAAAAACATTTCAAACCAGCAGGAATAAAGGATCTGATTTTGCAAATGACCACAAATATTTTTACTTAGTTCATTAGCTCTATACACATAATAGCGGCTCCCAACCAAGGGCAGTTTAAATTGCCCATCCCTGTGTTGTACCAATTTTCTGACTTCTAATGGCCTATTTACATTACTTTTATAAGAATAAAGGTAATAAAATGAAGATTTAAGAGTAAGGTTTGCTTAGCGGACATAAACACGATGCTGGCGGGTTCTACTTTCCTCAAGCCATTTGGCCAGGAAGCACTCCCCTAGAATGGGCATGGCCAGAAACCCTACTGGACAAATTCTTAACCCGCACGGTGGAAATAAAAATACCACCCAATAGCAAGCTTCTAAACACCTGAGCCAGTGAAACAGCCCAGAACGCGTCCTATTTTAAATTACACAGCCTTCTTCCAGGAGTGGTTTTTTGGTTTTTTTTTTTTTTTGTTTTTTGGTTTTTTTGAAATCTCAGTTTTCTTTTTCCAAGAACTTCATAAAATCCTAGCCGTGGCTCCCAGTCTGGAGAGGAGTTCTGACGAACGGGCTGCAACAGGGGTCAGTAAACTTCTACAAAGGACTAGGAGGCAAGTATCTCTTTTATGGGCCACACAGTCTCTGGTGTGACCACTGAACTCTGACATTGTGAAGAAAAACAGTTCTGATACTAAGGCAAACGGGTATAGATGACTTTCAAAAACAAAACAGAAAGTCTAAAGCCAGGCAGCGGGCCAACTGTGAGGGGAAGGATGTGGTTTGCTGACCCCTGGACCGAAATGTCATGTCACTGTGCCCTCCTCTCTGAAGTCTGATAGGACCGTTTGATGCAAACACCCTCTCAATATGCCTGCATGCCTTCATGCTTTTGATGTTTTGTTGTTATTTTGGTTTGTTTCAGGATAGGTGTTTTGTTTTTTCTGTGTAGCCCTGGCTATCCTGGAATTTGCTCTGTAGGCCAGGCTGGTTGGCGGAGCTTTCTGTTCCTCCTGGTCCTGCAGCCATTTAGTCCCAAAGAAATACACAGAGGCCTACATTAGGTGGAGGCAACTCGTTTGTTCCCCAGCTGCTCTGACCCAAAATAATCACACAGAAATTTGTATTAACTACAATACTGCTTGGCCAATAGCTTAAGCATACTTCTGGCTAACTCTTACATCTTAAATTGACCCATTTTTATTCATCTGTGTATTATCATGTGACTGGCTTACCACCAAGGTTTCAGTATGTTTGTCTCCCACGGTGGCTATATGGCTTCTCTCTGACTCCGTCTCCTCTCTCTATGTATCTCTTCCAGCCTGACTATATTCTGTTAAGCCATTGGCTAAAAGCAGCTTCTTTATTCATTAACCTTTATTCATTTTATTATTGGTTAATGAAAACAACACATATACAGAAGGACTTCCCACACTACAAGCTAGCCTCAAAGTCACAGAGATTCACCTGAGTACTGGGATTAAAGGTGTGTGCCACCACATCGAGCCTGTTTCTGGTATTCGGTGTTTTTTTTTTAACATAGTGATCAGTTTTCTTTCCAGCTTAGCAGTCCCAGCCTGGCGAACAAGTGTCCCAGTTACGCACAGGGTCTTTCTGTGGTAGAAGGCAGGGCCTGCTGGAAATGACTGAGAAGGATCCAAGCCGTGGGATAAAATACCCACACCTCAGTGAGCACTTGGGGAAAACAAACAAACAAACAAATTCAGCTTTCTACATTAGAGACCGGCAACAGAGCCAGAGGAAGCCCTGCAAGCCGGTCACGCTTAGAGGCATCTTAAATACAGAAGCATCTACCTTCTGTCCCTGGAGAGGGAGAGAGGAAGGGAGACCCAACGCTGTACTAAGGGGCCAAGCCCTTGTTGCTCAGTCCACCTAACAGGCTGGAAGAAGCAGCCATGTATTCCATACCCTGATTTCCCTTAGACACAGCTGGTTGAAGCCCAGTGTACTGGATCCAGGCAGAAGCAAGTAGAGCCAAGTCCAATGACGCATGCCCCTAATCCTAGCACTCAAGAGGCTGAAGCAGGAGGATTCCAAGTTTGAGGCTAGCCTGAATTACACAGTGAGACAAACAACCACAAAGAATCAACTGGATTTTCCGCCCCAGGAATCCAGGTTTGAGCTGCGGAGGTAAGGGGCCTTCTTCTGACAGCACAGAGCGGGCAGGGCATCTCTATTTAGGCAGAGGGACCCAAGTGACACGCAGAATCAAAGGACCTTGTCTTGTCTCCTGCCATGCATAAGACATTATGTTGATGGCACAAACGTTTGAACTGAACTGACCCACAGTGAGCCCCCTTGAGATGTTTTAAACCGATTTATGGTCAGGCAAGGCAGAGCATGTTGATAATGTCAGCATTTGGGAGGCTGAGTCATGAATTCATGGCCAGCCTGGGCTACACAGAGAGACACTGTCTCCAAAAGGGGGTGGGGTAGGCTGGAAAAATGGTCCAGTGACTAAGAATGCTTGCTATTCTGATCATAAGGAGCAGAATTCAAATCCCAGCACCCAAATAACAATCAGGGCATCTTGTGCACACATCTAACCCCATCTCTGCAGACAGTGGAGATGCAGGGATCACTGAGGCCGGCTGGCTTTCAGCCCCACCAGGAAAACTCCAGCTTCAGATTCAGGGGAAGTCCCTGCCTCAAAAGAAATAGGTAGAGAGTGATGGAGGAGGACACCTGCTGCCCTATTCGGGCCTTCACGCATGTGCACAGGTTCACACCCACACATGCTCATGCATGCATGCACATAAATCTCTTAAAAATCGAGAAAAGCCTACCTACCGGAGGATGGCCCCGTTTTCCCTGAGACAACGCAGTGTGGACATTAATTAATTGCCATGTTTTGTTTGGCCTCACAATTTCTTTTGTTTGTTTTCAATTTATGATACCATCTAAGAATTGGAAGATTTCCACACTACCAGTCAGTTTCCAGCTGTCTCGACAAACTGGAATATCCGGTAATACTGAGGCTGAGCAGGAGCATCCCCGGGGGCAGGGGACACACGTGGACGCCCCTCACCTGTCCTCACCTCTGCTTCCTTCCTGCTAATGTTCCTTCGGTTGCAACTGTACCACGGCACTGTTTTTATCCCCGGTACAGAATTCTCTGTTCTGCTGCTGCTTACCAGAAATGGGGAGAGGCCATGCAGTTTCTGAGAAAAGCAGGCAGTGTGATCTTTTCTGGCGTGCCCAATGGGCAGAATGAACACACTTTGACGTAGCCATTAATTAGTTCAGTGGTTCTCAACCTGTGGGTTGCAACCACTTTGGGGGTCTAATGATCCTTTCATGGGGGGTCCCATATCAGGCAACCTGCACATCGGATATTTACATTAGGATTCATAACAGTAGAAAAATGACAGTTATTTTGGGGGGGGCACCGCAACATAAAGAACTGTATTAAAGGGCCGCAGCATCAGGATGGTTGAGAAGCATGGCTGTAGCTGAACCATGGCCTAGTCTAACTGCACTCCCTGAGGCTGGTGCAGCCGACACCTGGTGGTCTCCAACCATTTCTCTGCTTCAGCTATCGGGAAAGACAGGATGAACCCAAACAGAACCTCTGATAGTAAAGTACGGGGAGCACTCAGTCTGTTGGGGAGCTTTTCTGTAAGATGCCAGGAGTCCAGGATGTC